GGGGAGTGTGACATTTTTAGGGCCGACCTTTTCTAACCCTTCCTTCCTTGTGAGAAGGCAGCATCGCTGCAGATGCTAGTTGTCCGAGGGAAACACCTTACTGCTGTCACACCCCTCTGCAGTCAGCAGTACGACTTCGCCCTCAGACCTTGGGTAGCTGCTTTTAGTCTCATCGTTCTCCAATCGACCAGCCTGGCATGGTAGGACCTGCAGGAACATATGTTCCAGCCAGTATAGCTCGGTTGGGTCATCACGATAGGCAAGCCCGACCACCACGTCAAGGTAGCAGCTTCGGTCGGGTTCCACTACATACCTTGCTAACTGTCACCAGCTCTCTCCTCAACACAGTTTTTCATAGGCTGTAATCAGATTAGTAGTCTTGGAGTCTAGAACAATTACTTCTGTGTTATTCCTTGGTACATATTTTAGTGATAGACGCTCCCTTAAATTCTGTCGGCGTACGGTACCAAACGCCAACTTAAAGTTAAGAAATACAAATGGGTAGGTACATTTATGTTCCGGAACCCGATGAAGGATGAATCTTTGGTTGGCGTATCCAAATCTAAAATTAGCCCGGTTCTCCCCATTTAACTGTCCACTAACTTTAGTTAAGCGTTTGATTATTATTGAGACTATTAATTTAAGCCCTAATTAGCCCTGTAATCATCGCGAGAATATTTTCGTCCTTAATTTTCGACGATCACAATCAGTCAGCTGAAATACGTCCAGTCCCCAAACTAACTAATACCAGTCAATCTGCCACTCAAAACTGAACCAACCTCCTTAGAGACATCAGGGATTAGTCCATAGACTTTGCTCTATAGCCTTGAATTAGCCATGGATTCTATCAACTTCAGTGACAGTTGGGTTGCCTGTATTTACATTCTATTCACAATTTCGGTATTAGTAAGCGATTAGAGGGTAGCTAAAGAGAAGTTAGACTGTTATGCGTATTTTTCTGCTCATTATTCTAAATCTCGTAGGTTGCAAGTCGACCATCTTCCCATATCTTCCTAAAATAAATTGAGTAACAGCCGAATTTTAAATACTCTGGCAAATGTGAAGAGTTGTTTGCTATTGTCTATCACGAACCATATCGCTTTTGCTTTCGTTAGGGACAAACACTTTATAGACATTTTTTTAAGTCGGTTTATAAGCTTTTTGCTTTTCGTCGTGTTCTGAGCCCAAAAGAATAACTTTTTGATCTATCAATTTGGTGAATGCTAGCGAAACCATTTAACATACTGATATTATGTATTTGTTGTACAGAATGATCTACCGTTATTCTATATCCCTGATGTCAGCTTAAAGAGCCAGTTAGATCATCATGCACTTAAGTTAGAACCACTGCATTTCCTAATATATTTCCTACACGTTTCCAGTTGGTACGTTCGTGTACCAACTAATTATTTTTCAGCCGCATGTTCAATATAATGAGCGAGACTATTTCTGTTGTCTTTTTACCCCACTAATTAGCGTGAAAGCTCCCAATTTATGTTAAAGCCTTTATGGAAACTCCAGAAGAATCGACTTGTGTGTTGTAAAATGACATGCTTGCATGCAAGATGTTAACATAAAGTAAACATGATAAAATATCAGAGGCAATAAGAAGAAATCAGCCTGTAGGTTATTCACTTTGTTATCGATCGAGACCTGATTGTTTGGCCTAATTCTTTCTCATTGCATTAATTGTAGTCTACATACCTAATTTAATTTTTAAAACATCTGTGACTACATGAATATCCATCTAAATATTTGTGGTCTTAATGGTTAAAATATCCTTCTTATCCTTATTAGTGGCCTGCTTTTTCTGCAAACTTGGATCTTATTCGCCTGCAGTATAAGGAATTCTTTGAGGGGAAGTCATGGGCTGTTGTCTGTGCTCGTGGCTATTTCTACTGGCTTCATCTTCATGCTCGCTGTATATTTGGTGCTAACTTTGAATTGGTCAATACGCTTCTTCAGCCAGACACTCAAGATATGTTCCCTTCACCGCCCTTGTCTCCTCTACATGCTGCAGTCATTGTTCGCATGCATGGTCAAACGTTGGTGAAATTTATGCGCTTGTGTTGTGAGCAAAAATTACAAAATCGTTCCGTTGCAAAACAAAATGTGATCGGGATTGGTAAAGAAAATAAAAATCCATCTGGTAGTCCTGAAAATAATAAAAAGTTTGTTGAACCGCAGCCATTAGCTTCAGATCTAAAAATGTCTACCGTTGCTTGGTCTTCTGCATCACTAACAGGTATAAGCAGTTGCTTTTATTAGGTTGTAGGTCTTTTGAATTACCTTAGTTGTATAATTTATTCATTCAAATGTGTATGGTGCTCCGTAAAATCGCATACTTTCGTTAGAAAATCGCGCGTTGGTTGGAGTTAAATATCTACCACTGATTGGTTGAAAGTGGACCTATCAGCTTGTTTTAACATGATCTTATTTGACTCATGCTTTGCTCAAGTTTCTGTCCTGATCTCTCAGGTTTTCAGATAAAATTGTTTACTTCGTGCAACATAATTGACATTTTTTTCACACCTCAGAAATGATAACTAATTACTTGTTGTTTTCTAAGCAGATGGAAATTTTGACAAATTTATTAGACAGACAGACAGATACAACGCAGAACTTCGTACGTAAGTACATCAGTTCAGGTTGCCATACGACATTAGCACAGAGACGCAACTGTCACTTCAAATCCAAGAGTGAAAGCGATAGTAGAAGTATTAGCAGTGATGAAAAAGATAAGGGAGCGAACATATGATTCGAGAAGTATAATACAGTGAGATAAATTCAGAAAGAGAAAGATAAAGATTATAAGGAATTCATAAGGTTATAATTCGAGAGAACACAAAGAGTGGATGCACCTGCACCATTGCAAACGATTTTGAGCCATGTCGTTCAAGGTCTCTAACCATCGATTACTATCGTCTCTCTCACCCCAATCAAGTAACCTACATGTACCAACATGACTCAGTCCACTTGATGAAGTTTCACTACTTCATCATCACTATTTCATCACCTAGAACTCGTTTCCTAACGACAGCATTACTTACTCGGTTGTCCCAGGATATACGAGCAATGCTTCGAAGTCACCTACGATCGAATACTAATAACCTACGAATGTCCTCTACTCTTACCGGCCATGTTCCGCATCCATATAGTAGGATGGAGCGAACTGCTGCGCAGTACACTCGTCCTTCGGTTAGCGAACGGATATCTCGCTTACGCTGTAGGTGACGCAAGATGGCAAAAGCCAATCGAGCCTTCTGTATCCGTGTTGAGATTTCGTCAGTCACCAGGCCATCGGCAGTGATGAGACTCCCGAGATAAGTGGAGCGGTCGACACACCCAACTACTTCACTCCCTATCACTAGTTCAAGTGAGATCGCAAGCCAATGCTGAGACAACATTTTGCATTGTCGCTCAGAGAAATGAGAAGACTCTGCATTTAGTCAGAGTGTTCACCGAATAGAACTATGTCATCGGCATATTCTATATCAGTAAGCGACTTTCCCGGTAGAAGGTGCACTCCTGAAGAGTCAGACGATGATAATGTTAACTCTAAGAGGACATCTACGACAAATTTGAACAAGATTGTCGAGAGTGGACATCCGTGACTGACACCACTTGATGTAGAGAATTCCGAAGACAGTTCTCCATAAGCTCTCTCGACTGGTATTGTTCGAGTAAAGGGCTTGTATAATTTTAATGTACTTCTTTGACACACTTTTCAATGATAGACACTGCCACAAAACCTCACGATCCACTGAGTCAAATGCCGCCTCTAGTTCCAGGAAGACAACTATTGTAGGACGCCTGAATTTGTGTCTGCGTTCCAGGACCTGTCGTAGTGTGAAAATATGGTCTATAATTCACGTCCAGGTTGATGACCAGCCTGGTTTTCTCGAGTCTGCTCTTCACGAGCACTAGTTAGGCGTCTAAGTATAATCCAGGGTAACAATTTAGATACTATATTAGTTAGACTTATTCCCCTATGATTGTCACAAGAAGACTTTTGTCCTTTCTTGTAAATTGCGAGAATCAGGGATTGGGACCAGGCGGATGGAATTGTGTCCAGTCCGCAGATTCTGCTCAAGATTGCAGTCAATGTAGCTGCTAAAACTGGACCACCATCCTTAAAGATCTCAGTAGTCAACCTGTCGGGTCCTGCTGCTCCCTCTCGCTTCAGATTTCCTATAGCCCTTTCTACTTCATAAATGTTCGGAGTGCTTCTGTTGACTAGTCATTCAGGATGACTGGAGATCGTGGGTAAGCGAAGTGTGGCTGAAGGCCAGTTGAACTGATCCCTAAAGTGTTCTGCCCATCGATCCAGTCTCCTGAATTAGGAATGGATAAGAAGACCATCCTTTTCCGAGATAGTTTCATTCATATTCGAGTTCCTAATACCGGTTCCCTTGATGAGTCGGAAAAGTTGTCTACTGTTGCCTATCGCCGCTGCCTTTTCCATCGCTTTTGCTTTCGCCACCCACTACTGTTCACGGTCGTTGCGTATTCTTTTTATCAGCTTGCGCTTAAGCTGACTTCGCTCTACATCATATTCAGAGCCAGGTGGGATGAGTTTTCGAGCATCCATCAGTTCGGTGGATGCTATTGAGATCCACGGCTTCATTCTAGCCTTATGGTTTACCTTACTAACAGATATCACAGCTGTTTCTACAGCCTTTTCGATATCATTGCAAGCTGCCTCGGGGTGGGAATCACTTACATGGTTGCCTAACTCTCTTTCTAGTTGTTTCTGGAATATACTCTTAGCCTCATTTTCATTAAGCAGAACCCTAAGAGGTTTCCTTGCGGTGTCTTCCCTACGCCCAGTAAGCTTCAAACAAATACGCGCTCGCACTAGGGCATGATCTGAATCTAAACATGTGCCCCAGAACGAGCGACAGTCCTCTATCGAACCCCTCCATCGTTGGCTGATGGCGATGTTATCTAGTTGTGTCCAACGTTGAGACGACTTTGGAGGTCGCCAGGTCAACAGATGCTTTTCCTTATGCCTAAAGTTAGTGTTCGCTAAGAATAGGCGGTTGTCTGAGCATACTTGCCACAGACGGTCACCATTTTTGTTCTCTGAGCCGCGACACGATAACATACACCAAGGTGTCTCTCCTGCTCACTTAGTCTACGTACTTGAGCATTAAAGTCACCAGCCATTATTACTATATCAGAGCGCCTAGATTTTTGGAGGAGGTCCGAAAGCTTTCTGTAAAACTCATCTTTAACCTCGTCTGAACTGCAGTCAGTGGGGGCATAGGCAGATACGATGAAGAGGCAACGGCGAGCGTCCCTATACTTCCGAGTCCTTACTGTCCCGTTTAGTCGGACAGCGCACAAGCGACTATCTACTGGGATCCAGTCAAGGAGAGATTGTTCAGCTCTACGACTCAATGCTATGCCTACGCCAGCAAGACCCCTGGAAGCAGCACCAGGGCTACCGGATACACGAAGAGTAAATCCAGCTGCTTCTTTATTTTGACAAAGTGAAATCAGAATAATAATTTTACTTGGATTCTGTATGCGCGTTTCCGAGACGCAGCATACATCGATTGAGCGAGATTCTAATGTCCTAGCTAATGAAGCGTGTTGCCCTATATGACATAATCTCCGTACATTTAATGTAATCTAGAACGAGGTTTCAGGAGACCAGGAATGACTTTTCGTGATCTCTCATCGTTTGAATTAGCTGTGCAGTGTGATGAAGGAATGTGAGGAGAGTTAGTCGTGAAGATAAGAGAGATATTAAGGGGTGTAGGAAGGACTGGATTTCGACCAATTTGGTCTCTCGTGCTGTTACGGGTATGAGGGCGGTTGTCACTTCCCGGCTGCCCACACCGTGGAAGGTTGTTTTTTGAGGGACCTGAAAAGGAAGGTAGATTAGTGTTGGTCATGGAGACCTGCGAGCGTGACCGAAGAGTCCAAGGGACAACTGCTTGAGGCCGGTCACGCACAGCCTTTTCATAATAGGTTTTTTGAGTATTAGCTCCGCTCTTAAGAGCCGTTGTTGGGCACCCTTACTGCCGGAGACGGGAGTCCGTGAGGTAGGGTGAGGTGTGACATTTTTAGGGTCGACCTTTTCTAACCCTTCCTTCCTTGTGAGAAGGCAGCATCGCTGCAGATGCTGGTTGTCCGATGGAAACACCTTACTGCTGTCACACCCCTCCATCACAGTCAGCAGTACGACTTCGCCCTCAGACCTTGAGTAGCTGCCTTTTGATTCATCGTTCTCCAATCGACCTGTCTGGCATGGTAGGACCTTCAGGAACATGTGTTCCAGTCAATATAGCTCGGTTGGATCATCACGATAGGCAAGCCCGACCACCACTTCAAGGTAGCAGGTACGGTCTGGATTTATTAGGAAATCGGTCTTAATGTCTTGTTCCACATAATTTGTCTTTAACCGTAATATGAAACTCTAATAAAAGAGTAAAAGTGAGCTGAACTGGAAATATTTCTTTTCGAAATCTGTTGTGTTTTCTAACTTCAGCAATTTATCGCAAGCGTTCGTCATAATACTTTTAAGATAGTTAAAACAATAGTTAAACCTCTATGCTATTTAATATCTTTGGGAAAATCTTGTAACTTATATTTGGTAACCATGACTGATAAACATATTTTTTTTACTGTCATATTTTGGTCTTATTGTAATTGAGAGCCATAATATTGTCGATTATTTCTAGATAATGAATTGCTTAATCTATGGTTGGGAACGCGACTACTTTTATATGGCTGCCATCAAACTGCTGAGTTATATACGCTTCTAGGTACTGTAAGAGAAGCACGAGTATATCAAAATGAGTTATTATGTGTTGGCCAACGGTTTCACCTATGTAGTTAGTAAGTTCATCTGTAAAAGTTTATGCCCTTTACTTAGTTTTCGTATTCATTTAAGGTTAACAAATTCATTTTATCATTTCTTCCTCTTACATTTAAATAGTTGTCTGATGATAAATGTTTTAAAAATATAGTCATATGTTATTTTATGTATCAGGTTATCAAGTAGATCAGTCAGTCAATCAGTTACAACGTAAAACTTCGTACATACGTATATCACTTTAAGTTGACTTTAAGTAGACTTGTTTTTTGTTTAGCAGGCAGATATCTCGTCTACACCATAAGAGACGCAAGTTGGCAAAAGCCGATCGAGCTTTCTGAATCCGTGCTGAGATTTCGTCAGACATTAGGCCATCAGCACTGATGAGACTCCCGAAATAAGTGGAGCGGTCAACATCAAGTAGATCAAGGTGTAAACAAGGTCTTCCTAGTATTACACCCCCATAACGAATAAGTCGACCAATGAATACATGCAAGAAAAAATAACTTAATTTATTGATTTTCTATACTTAAACAGTATCAACTTTTTACGCTTTGTTTGGTTCAACATGAACTTACATATGATAGTAGGCATTAGAAATTCTGAATAAACTGGTATAGTTAGCGAATTAAAGTGCCAATGTCGAGTCTTATCTGATTTCGTTAAAATATTACAGATTAGTTCACTACAGCTGCTATTTTCAAACACCAACGTTAAACAAAGTTCATCTTTACCAACTTTTTTGTCTGTCTTACTTTTGTCTTAGTACACAGATTGCTCTCAACTTAATGGCGCATCTAGATATGTTTGCTCAACGTCAATGGGCTTTTGAACTGCGCCTTCGGCAGCTTAATCACATTGCAACTTGTCAAGTATCTCTTGAAGAACTGGTCACTAAAAGATCTAAACAAAACAGAAAACAAAGTACAAAAGCTACTTCGGAAATCGATGAATCTGCTTTCATTCATTCTAAAGCATTTCCAAGCGAGTCTCTCTACTATTGTAGAGAGACTCGCTTGGAAATGCTTTAGAATGAATGAAAGCAGATTCATCGATTTCCGAAGTAGCTTTTGTACTTTGTTTTCTGTTTTGTTTAGATCTTTTAGTGACCAGTTCTTCAAGAGATACTTGACACGTTGCAATGTGATTAAGCTGTCGAAGGCGCAGTTCAAAAGCCCATTGACGTTGAGCAAACATATCTAGATGCGCCATTAAGTTGAGAGCAATCTGTGTACTAAGACAAAAGTAAGACAGACAAAAAAGTTGGTAAAGATGAACTTTGTTTAACGTTGGTGTTTGAAAATAGCAGCTGTAGTGAACTAATCTGTAATATTTTAACGAAATCAGATAAGACTCGACATTGGCACTTTAATTCGCTAACTATACAAGTACAAATTCAGTTTATTCAGAATTTCTAATGCCTACTATCATATGTAAGTTCATGTTGAACCAAACAAAGCGTAAAAAGTTGATACTGTTTAAGTATAGAAAATCAATAAATTAAGTTATTTTTTCTTGCATGTATTCATTGGTCGACTTATTCGTTATGGGGGTGTAATACTAGGAAGACCTTGTTTAGACCTTGATCTACTTGATGTTGACCGCTCCACTTATTTCGGGAGTCTCATCAGTGCTGATGGCCTAATGTCTGACGAAATCTCAGCACGGATTCAGAAAGCTCGATCGGCTTTTGCCAACTTGCGTCACTTATGGTGTAGACGAGATATCTGTCTGCTAAACAAAAAACGAGTCTACTTAAAGTCAACTTAAAGTGATATACGTATGTACGAAGTTTTACGTTGTAACTGATTGACTGACTGATCTACTTGATAACCTGATACATAAAATAACATATGACTATATATTTTTAAAACATTTATCATCAGACAACTATTTAAATGTAAGAGGAAGAAATGATAAAATGAATTTGTTAACCTTAAATGAATACGAAAACTAAGTAAAGGGCATAAACTTTTACAGATGAACTTACTAACTACATAGGTGAAACCGTTGGCCAACACATAGTAACTCATTTTGATATACTCGTGCTTCTCTTACAGTACCTAGAAGCGTATATAACTCAGCAGTTTGATGGCAGCCATATAAAAGTAGTCGCGTTCCCAACCATAGATTAAGCAATTCATTATCTAGAAATAATCGACAATATTATGGCTCTCAATTACAATAAGACCAAAATATGACAGTAAAAAAAATGTTTATCAGTCATGGTTACCAAATATAAGTTACAAGATTTTCCCAAAGATATTAATTAGCATAGAGGTTTAACTATTGTTTTAACTATCTTAAAAGTATTATGACGAACGCTTGCGATAAATTGCTGAAGTTAGAAAACACAACAGATTTCGAAAAGAAATATTTCCAGTTCAGCTCATTTTTACTCTTTTATTAGAGTTTCATATTACGGTTAAAGACAAATTATGTGGAACAAGACATTAAGACCGATTTCCTAATAAATCCAGACCGTACCTGCTACCTTGAAGTGGTGGTCGGGCTTGCCTATCGTGATGATCCAACCGAGCTATATTGGCTGGAACACATGTTCCTGAAGGTTCTACCATGCCAGGATGGTCGATTGAAGAACGATGAATCAAAAGGCAGCTACTCAAGGTCTGACGGCGAAGTCGTACTGCTGACTGTGATGGAGGGGTGTGACAGCAGTAAGGTGTTTCCCTCGGACAACCAGCATCTGCAGCGATGCTGCCTTCTCACAAGGAAGAAAGGGTTAGAAAAGGTCGGCCCTAAAAATGTCACACCTCACCCTACCTCACGGAATTCCGTCTCCGTCGGTAAAGGTGCCCACTGAGGGCTTTCAAGAGTGGAGAGCCAACACTCAAAAAACCTTTCATAAGAAGGTTGTGCGTGACTGGCCTCAAGCAGTTGTTCCTTGGACTCTTCGGTCACGCTCGCAGGTCTCCAAGACCAACGCTAATCTACCTTCCATTTCAGGTTCCTCAAGACACAACCTTCCACGGTGTGGGCAGCCGGGAAGTGACAACCGCCCTCATACCCGTAACAACACATGAGTCCAAATCGGTCATAATCAAATCCTTCCTACACCCCTTAATATCTCTCTTATTTTCATGACTAACTCTCCTCACATTCCTTCATCACACTGCACAGCTAATTCAAACGATGAGAGTTCACGAAAAGTCATTCCTGGTATCCTGAAACCTCGTTCTAGATTACATTAAATGTACGGAGATTATGTCAAATATGGCAACACGCTTCATTAGCTAGGACATTAGAATCTCGCTCAATCGATGTATGCTGCGTCTCGGAAACGCGCATACAGAATCCAAGTAAAATTACTATTCTGATTTCACCTTGTCAAAATAAAGAAGCAGCTCGATTTACTCTTCGTGTATCCGGTAGCCCTGGTGCTGCTTCCAGGGGTCTTGCTGGCGTAGGCATAGCATTGAGTCGTAGAGCTGAACAATCTCTCCTTGACTGGATCCCAGTAGATAGTCGCTTGTGCGCTGTCCGACTAAACGGGACAGTAAGGACTCGGAAGGATAGGGACACTCGCCATTGCCTCTTCATCGTATCTGCCTATGCCCCCACTGACTGCAGTTCAGACGAGGTTAAAGATGAGTTTTAAAGAAAGCTTTCGGACCTCCTCCAATAAGCTAGGCGCTCTGCTGTAGTAATAATGGCTGTTGACTTTAATGCTCAAGTACGTAGACTAAGTGAGCAGGAGAGACACCTTGGTGTATGTTATCGTGTCGCGGCTCAGAGAACAGACAATGGTGACCGTCTGTGGCAAGTATGCTCAGACAACCGCCTATTCTTAGCGAACACTAACTTTAGGCATAAGGAAAAGCATCTGTTGACCTGGCGACCTCCAAAGTCGTCTCAACGTTGGACCCGACTAGATAACATCGCCATCAGCCAACGATGGAGGGGTTCGATAGAGGACTGTCGCTCGTTCTGGGGCACATGTTTAGATTCAGATCATGCCCTAGTGCGAGCGCGTATTTGTTTGAAGCTTACTGGGCGTAGGGAAGACACCGCAAGGAAACCTCTTAGGGTTCTGCTTAATGATAATGAGGCTAAGAGTATATTCCAGGAACAACTAGAAAGAGAGTTAGGCAACCATGTAAGTGATTCCCACCCCGAGGCAGCTTGCAATGATATCAAAAAGGCTGTAGAAACAGCTGTGATATCTGTTAGTAAGGTAAACCATAAGGCTAGAATGAAGCCGTGGATCTCAATAGCATCCACCGAACTGATGGATGCTCGAAAACTCATCCCACCTGGCTCTGAATATGATGTAGAGCGAAGTCAGCTTAAGCGCAAGCTGATAAGAAGAATACGCAACGACCGTGAACAGTAGTGGGTGGCGAAAGCAAAAGCGATGGAAAAGGCAGCGGCGATAGGCAACAGTAGACAACTTTTCCGACTCATCAAGGGAACCGGTATTAGGAACTCGAATATGAATGAAACTATCTCGGAAAAGTCAGTCAGTCAGTTGCAACGTAGAACTTCGTACGTATGTACATAAGTTCATGTTGCCATACCACATTATTAGCACAGAGACGCAAATGTCAAATCAAATCCCATAGTGATAAAGATAGTGCAGAGGTATTAATGGTAATAAAGAAGACTAGGGTTTAAGATATTATTCAAAAAATATAATTCAGTGAGATAAGGTTAGAAAGACAAAGGTAGAGGTGCTGGCTAATCCAGAAGATTAGGATTTGAGAGAGCTCAAAGAGTGGATGCACCTGCGCCATTGCAAACGATTTTGAGCCATGTCGTTCAAGGTCTCTAACCATTGATGACTTTCGTCTCGCGGACCCCAACCAGGTAGTCTACATCTACCAACATGACTCAGTCCACTTGTCAGTGACTTCATGGATTTCTGCCATGTTTTGGTCTGGCCGCCCCTAGATTTCTTCCAACCTACTCCTACACCACAAAACATAGCTCGTCGAGGCAGTCGGTGGTTAGGCATACGTAACACATGTCCCAACCACCTCAACTGATGAAGTTTCACCACTTCATCGATTGATCTGCCATCCTTACCTAGTACTCGTTTCCTAACGACAGCATTGCTTACTCGGCTGTCCCACGATATACGAGCAATGCTTCTTAAACATCTATGATCGAATACTAGTAACCTACGAACATCTTCTACTCTTAACGGCCATGTTTCACAGCCATATAATAGAACGGAACGAACTGCTGCGCAGTACACCCGCCCTTTGGTTAGCGAACGGATATCACGCCTACGCCATAAGTGACGCAGGTTGGCAAAAGCCAATCGAGCCTTCTGTATCCGAGCTGAGATTTCGTCAGTCACCAGACCGTCAGCACTGATGAGACTCCCCAGATAAGTGAAGTGATCTACACGCTCGACTACTTCACTCCCTATCACTAGTTCAGGTGCCGAAGCAACCCAGTCTTGAAGCAACATTTTGCATTTCGAGGGGGAAAACCGCATCCCGAACATGCTCGCATTGTTGCTTATGGTAGTCAGAAGACTCTGCATTTTGTCAGCGTCTTCACCGAATAGAACTATGTCATCGGCATATTCTAGATCATTAAGCGACTTTCCTGGTAGAAGGTCAACCCCTGAAAAATCTGACGAGCTTAATGTTAACTCTAAGAGGATGTCTACGACAAAGTTGAACAAGAATGGAGAGAGTGGACAGCCCTGACGGACACCACTTGATGTAGAGAATTCAGATGACAGTTCGCCATATGCTCTCACCCGACCAGTGGTGTTCGAGTAGAGTGCTTGTATAAGGTTAATGTACTTCTTTGGTACACCTTTCAATGACAGACACTGCCACAGAACCTCACGATCCACTGAGTCGAAGGCCGCCTTAAGGTCCAGGAACACGACTAACGTCGGACGTCTAAATGTGTGTCTGTGTTCCAGGACCTGTCGTAGTTTGAAGATGTGGTCTATACAACCACGTCCAGGTCGAAAACCAGCCTGGTTTTCTCGAATCTGCTCTTCGCGAGCTCTAGTTAGACGTCTAAGTATAATCGAGGCTAACAATTTAGAAACTATATTAGTTAAACTTATTCCCCTGTGATTGTCACAAGAGGACTTCTGTCCTTTCTTGTAGATTGGGACGATTAGCGACTGAGACCAGTCAGATGGGATTACGTCCATTTCCCAGATTCTACCTAGGATCTCGGTCAGCCTAACCGTTAAAACTGGACCACCATCCTTAAACATCTCAGGGGTAAGCCTATCGGGACCTGCCGCTCTACCTCTCCTTAGATTTCCTATAGCTTTCTCAACTTCATGTAAACTGGGAGGACTTAAGTCGATTTGCCATTCAGGATGACTGGAGATCGTGGGTAACCGAAGAGTGGCTGAAGGCCAGTTGAACTGATCCCTAAAGTGTTCTGCCCATCGGTCCAGCCTCCTAGATTGAGAATGGATAATAAGACCATCCTTTTCCGAGATAGTCTCACTTACATTCGGGTTCCTAATACCGGTTTCTTTGATAAGGCGGAAAAGTTGTCTAGTGTTGCCTATCGCCGCTGCCTTTTCCATCGCTTTTGCTTTCGCCACCCACCACTGTTCACGGTCGTTACGTAGGCTTTTTATAAGTTTGCACCTAAGCTGACTACGCTGTTCATCATGTTCAGAGTCAGGTGGGATCCGTTTACGAGCATCCATCAGTTCGGTGGATGCGACTGAAATCCACTGCTTCATCCTAGCATGGTGGTTTACCTTGCTAGCAGATACCATTGCTGTTTCCACAGCCTTCTTGATATGATTCCAACCTGCTTCAGGATGGGAATCACTTGCATGGCCGCCTAACTGTTTTTCTAGTTCCTCCTGAAATATTTTCTTAGCTTGATTATCATCAAGTAAAGCCCTAAGAGGCTTCCTTACGGTGTCTTTCCTACGTCCAGCAAGCCTCAAACAAATACGTGCTCGCACTAGGGCATGATCTGAATCTAAACATGTGCCCCAGAACGAGCGACAGTCCTCTATCGAACCCCTCCATCGGTGGCTGATGGCGATATGATCTAGTTGTGTCCAACGTTGAGACGACTTCGGGGGTCGCCAGGTCAAAAGGTGTTTTTCCTTATGCTTAAAATTAGTGTTTGCTAGAAATAGTTGGTTATCTGAGCACAGTTGCAACAGACGGTCACCATTGTCTGTTCTTTGAGCCGCGAGACCGTAACATCCACCTAGGTGTCTTTCATTTTCACTTAGTCTACCTACTTGTGCATTGAAGTCACCAGCCATTATAACTATATCAGAGCGCTTAACTTTTTGGAGGAGGTCCGAAAGCTTTCTGTAAAACTCATCTTTTACATCATCTGGGCTGCAGTCAGTGGGGGCGTAGGCTGATATGACGAAGAGGCAACGGCGAGTGTCCCTATCTTTCCGAGTCCTTACTGTCCCGTTCAGTCGGACGGCGCACAAGCGACTATCTACAGGGATCCAGTCAAGGAGAGATTTTTCTGCCCTACGACTCAATGCTATACCTACACCGGCGAGGCCCCTAGAAGCAGCATCAGGGCTACCGGATACACGAAGGGTAAATCGAGCTGCTTCTTTATCTTGACATGGTGAGGTCAAATGAGTGATGCTACTCGGATCCTGTATGCGCGTTTCCGAGACGCAGCACACATCGATGGCACGAGATTCTAAAGTCCTAGCTAATGATGCCTGTTGCCCTATTTGACACAATGTCCGTACATTGAATGCTCCAACATGTAGTTTGGAACGGGGTTTAAGGAGACCAGGAACGACGTTTCGCAAACTCGCATCGTTTGCATTAGCTGTGCACTGTAATAAATGAATGTGAGAAGAGTTAGTTGTGGAGATAAGAGAGGTATTAGGGAATGTAGGAAGGATTTGATTTTGAACAATTTTGTCTCGTGTGCTGTTGCGGGTATGAGGGCGGTTATCACTTCCCGGCTGCCCACACCATGGAAGGTTGTTTCTTGACGAACCTGAAAAGGAAGATGGATTAGTGTTGGTGCGTGACCGCAGAGTCCAAGGGACAGCTGCTTGAGGCCGGTCACGCACGGCCTTTTTATGAGAGGTAAGGATGGTCTTCTTATCCATTCCTAATTCAGGAGACTGGATCGATGGGCAGAACACTTTAGGGATCAGTTCAACTGGCCTTCAGCCACACTTCGCTTACCCACGATCTCCAGTCATCGTGAATGACTAGTCAACGGAAGCACTCCGAACATTTATGAAGTGGAAAGGGCTATAGGAAATCTGAAGCGAGAGGGAGCAGCAGGACCCGATAGGTTGACTACTGAGATCTTTAAGGATGGTGGTCCAGTTTTAGCAGCTACATTGACTGCAATCTTGAGCAGAATCTGCGGACTGGACACAATTCCATCCGCCTGGTCCCAATCCCTGATTCTCGCAATTTACAAGAAAGGACAAAAGTCTTCTTGTGACAATCACAGGGGAATAAGTCTGACTAATATAGTATCTAAATTGTTACCCTGGATTATACTTAGACGCCTAACTAGTGCTCGTGAAGAGCAGACTCGAGAAAACCAGGCTGGTCATCAACCTGGACGTGAATTATAGACCATATTTTCACACTACGACAGGTCCTGGAACGCAGACACAAATTCAGGCGTCCTACAATAGTTGTCTTCCTGGAACTAGAGGCGGCATTTGACTCAGTGGATCGTGAGGTTTTGTGGCAGTGTCTATCATTGAAAAGTGTGTCAAAGAAGTACATTAAAATTATACAAGCCCTTTACTCGAACAATACCAGTCGAGAGAGCTTATGGAGAACTGTCTTCGGAATTCTCTACATCAAGTGGTGTCAGTCACGGATGTCCACTCTCTACAATCTTGTTCAAATTTGTCGTAGATATCCTCTTAGAGTTAACATTATCATCGTCTGACTCTTCAGGAGTGCACCTTCTACCGGGAAAGTCGCTTACTGATATAGAATATGCCGATGACATAGTTCTATTCGGTGAACACTCTGACTAAATGCAGAGTCTTCTCATTTCTCTGAGCGACAATGCAAAATGTTGTCTCAGCATTGGCTTGCGATCTCACTTGAACTAGTGATAGGGAGTGAAGTAGTTGGGTGTGTCGACCGCTCCACTTATCTCGGGAGTCTCATCACTGCCGATGACCTGGTGACTGACGAAATCTCAACACGGATACAGAAGGCTCGATTGGCTTTTGCCATCTTGTGTCACCTACAGCGTAAGCGAGATATCCGTTCGCTAACCAAAGGACGAGTGTACTGCGCAGCAGTTCGCTCCATCCTACTATATGGATGCGGAAGATGGCCGGTAAGAGTAGAGGACATTCGTAGGTTATTAGTATTCGATCGTAGGTGACTTCGAAGCATTGCTCGTATATCCTGGGACAACCGAGTAAGTAATGCTGTCGTTAGGAAACGAGTTCTAGGTAAGGATGGCAGATCAACTGATGAAGTAGTGAAACTTCATCAAGTGGACTGAGTCATGTTGGTACATGTAGGTTACCTGATTGGAGTGAGAGAGACGATAGTAATCGATGGTTAGAGACCTCGAACGACATGGCTCAAAATCGTTTGCAATGGTGCAGGTGCATCCACTCTTTGTGTTCTCTCGAATTATAACCTTATGAATTCCTTATAATCTTTATCTTTCTCTTTCTGAATTTATCTCACTGTATTATACTTCTCGAATCATATGTTCGCTCCCTTATCTTTTTCATCACTGCTAATACTTCTACTATCGCTTTCACTCTTGGATTTGAAGTGACAGTTGCGTCTCTGTGCTAATGTCGTATGGCAACCTGAACTGATGTACTTACGTACGAAGTTCTGCGTTGTATCTGTCTGTCTGTCTAATAAATCTGTCAAAATTTCCATCTGCTTAGAAAACAACAAGTAATTAGTTATCATTTCTGAGGTGTGAAAAAAATGTCAATTATGTTGCACGAAGTAAACAATTTTATCTGAAAACCTGAGAGATCAGGACAGAAACTTGAGCAAAGCATGAGTCAAATAAGATCATGTTAAAACAAGCTGATAGGTCCACTTTCAACCAATCAGTGCTAGATATTTAACTCCAACCAACGCGCGATTTTCTAACGAAAGTATGCGATTTTACGGAGCACCATACACATTTGAATGAATAAGTTATACAACTAAGGTAATTCAAAAGACCTACAACCTAATAAAAGCAACTGCTTATACCTGTTAGTGATGCAGAAGACCAAGCAACGGTAGACATTTTTAGATCTGAAGCTAATGGCTGCGGTTCAACAAACTTTTTATTATTTTCAGGACTACCAGATGGATTTTTATTTTCTTTACCAATCCCGATCACATTTTGTTTTGCAACGGAACGATTTTGTAATTTTTGCTCACAACACAAGCGCATAAATTTCACCAACGTTTGACCATGCATGCGAACAATGACTGCAGCATGTAGAGGAGACAAGGGCGGTGAAGGGAACATATCTTGAGTGTCTGGCTGAAGAAGCGTATTGACCAATTCAAAGTTAGCACCAAATATACAGCGAGCATGAAGATGAAGCCAGTAGAAATAGCCACGAGCACAGACAACAGCCCATGACTTCCCCTCAAAGAATTCCTTATACTGCAGGCGAATAAGATCCAAGTTTGCAGAAAAAGCAGGCCACTAATAAGGATAAGAAGGATATTTTAACCATTAAGACCACAAATATTTAGATGGATATTCATGTAGTCACAGATGTTTTAAAAATTAAATTAGGTATGTAGACTACAATTAATGCAATGAGAAAGAATTAGGCCAAACAATCAGGTCTCGATCGATAACAAAGTGAATAACCTACAGGCTGATTTCTTCTTATTGCCTCTGATATTTTATCATGTTTACTTTATGTTAACATCTTGCATGCAAGCATGTCATTTTACAACACACAAGTCGATTCTTCTGGAGTTTCCATAAAGGCTTTAACATAAATTGGGAGCTTTCACGCTAATTAGTGGGGTAAAAAGACAACAGAAATAGTCTCGCTCATTATATTGAACATGCGGCTGAAAAATAATTAGTTGGTACACGAACGTACCAACTGGAAACGTGTAGGAAATACATTAGGAAAATCCTCTAGCTCTCGGTCTATATCTTAATGTGCCATTGAGCAGAACTCTACTATGCCTCCCTTTTAAAGCCGTACACACCTAACAGGGATGGTCTATAAGCCGAACTACACCTGTCGAGTACTCCCACCATTATGCTCACACGCACACACACATTATACTATAATATCAGTATGTTAAATGGTTTAGCTTAGCATTCACCAAATTGATAGACAAAAAAGTTATTCTTTGGGCTCAGAGAACTCGAACGCAGCCACTGGAAAAGGCCATCAATAAAGACTTCAAGAACCCCGAGCTGTCCAACTTGTCAATCACGGCAATAGCAAAAGGATATGGTTCGTGATAGACAATA